GTACCCTTCACAGATCACCATTTGAACATGCAGATATCATAGGGACTGTGTACCCCGGGTGCTTTTTGTATCCTCAAAGTATTGTATTTCTAATATAATTTTACAACTTCCATAATCTTGAGCAACACTTTTCCCTGCAGGAATCAATAAAGTTTTGATTATACGAGGAGCTGAGAATAACAATGTGACGTCTTACACGGTACACAGACTCAGCACACAGTGCACGTTTTCACAGCAGACATTCAGATTTATCACAGCACGAGAAGGACAGGTGTGATTAATAACACTAAGAGCAACCCTTCCATTAAGTGGACAAAAGCGAAACCTTCCTTAGGTAATGCAGCGTTCATTCAGTTTCACTGGCATGTCAAAAGGGTTTATCGCTCACTGAAAAAAGGCAGCACATGTTTTAAATCGTTGTTCCTACTGCGTTGGATGTGTGAAAGCATCTCCAAATATTACATGCTTAAAACACCAACACAAAAGAGTTTGCAAACGGGGGGCACAGAATTGTGGCATTTTCTTGTCAGCAGGGAGGTGATATGTTTAATTCTCCTCTGATTAATTTCCTAGCAACAAAGCTAAAAACCTCATTTTCCCGAGCCGTGTGAAGCAGGGCTGGCTGCCAGTGAAATTATGTCACACCACGGGAGAATGTTTGACTAAAATCTGGAGAGGTGAACAATGAAACACAGCAAAAACAAAAAAAGTAGGGATGAGGGCAGGGCTGTCTGTGTGAGGGACTGGAGAGGATTGGAAAACCAAATCATACTATTTACACCTCTCTCCTTTCTTTCCATCTCTCTGTCTGACTCTTTCTATCAGCTCTCTGAAGGCAGCCGCCTGACGCCACCTTCTGTCAAAGTACAGTTACTGTAACATCATTTCCCTTAAGTGGAGCTGATCAAGCATGTCGCTAACCTGCCGTCACTTGAAGGGTCTCATTTATTTACGTTTACCTTCATCTTGTGTTGTTTCTCTTCATCTCTTCATGTTACTTTAAATTATTTCTTGAAGAACATACTTGGATAAAAATGTTTCCGCTCTTAGGTTTAAATTGTCCTGCAATAATTATTTAGTGGAGACACAACTAGCGGAAGGAGATTAGTGGATTACCTTAATGAAGACAATTAAGTTTTAAATGAGTCGATATATCAAAGTATGACCTAATTTACAGACTAAATATTGCTTATAAGTAGTTTCAGTGAATGGGAGGGTTTATTTGTGGAGATGTTGATATATATTTTTAACCACTTCTTAAATCAGGAAACATAGTCAGCAGCCAAGAAAAATACTTTTTTCCCCTTTCATGTGTTGTTATTAATAAAATCTTCCAGAAATCAGCTTCTCCATTGTATATGAGTAATATGCCTTTAGAGCATGATCAAAAGGTCATTTTGAAGAAGTAGCCTTCAGAGGAATGTGTTGCAAAAGTCCAAGCATTTCTATTTAATTGGGGAAAATACTAGAAGTAATATTAGGAAGATGGACACCAAAAAAAGAAAAAAGAATTTTATATATTTTGTAAAATGTTTTGGTTTTTTTGCCATAAAAATGTAAACTAACATACAAATCCATACTAAAAGAATGTTTCATTTTGAAACGTAAGTTTCCTGTCAATTAGATTGTACAAAGTACTATTAAAAAAATTCATAAATTGTCACATCTCATCTTAAAACGGCACTATTGATAAAACATATCAACATTATTAAATTAACTCCTTTTGATTGTCATGACAAAGGTTTTAGTAGTACTTGCAGCTACGTTAGCAGTCGTTGTCTGTGGAAAGTACCTTCTATTGACATTACAGTCCACATACTTTTGGTCAGAGTTGTTTATCATGGTTTTGGACAAGTCCCCAGAGTTCCAGTGACATTTAGTGACAGCATCAGGCAGGAAGGCCCTTCCTGCTCCAACATGACAATGTCACCATTCATAAAGCTGATTTTTTTTTTTCAGGAGAGGGAGCACCTCATATTCAAAAAGCACCAAGCAGCTATGATGAATCTAGATGGCCTCTTTCTGTAAAATGTATAAATAAAAATGTGGGATATTTTGGACTCTTATGGTTAATGAATAAACCGCTTCAGAGGGGATCAAATGTTCCGATAGCAAATTGAAAAGCAGCAGCAGAGAGCTGCCTCATTAGCTTGTGTTAAAGTAATTTCTCTTTTAACATCTAACTAAAGATTTCAGTGATTACACTAATGCTTGCTTTATACTGGAGGATGTTGGTTTTGGTAATATTGTAGGCTGCCTGAAGATGTCACGTGCAGTGGTGCTTCCTCTTATCAACAGCAAGGCTGTAAGACACTGATTCCCAACACTCCTAACTATCACTCCTAAACTGAACCAATGCCAAAATTTATGCACGTGACTTTATTTGAAACGTCTTTTACTTTCCAAACCAAACCCGCCCTCACGTTGAAAGTTGCTGCAGAATTAACTGCAAGCTTTGTGAAGCCTTCGTGATCTGACGATGCTCTCTTCTACTCTTTATCCTGCAGGAAATCGAGGAGTTCAGCTTCGTCACCCAGCTGGCCGGCCTCACCGACCACCTGTCTGTGGCCATGCGCTTGGCTGTTTCCACTGGGGAAGAGGAGCCTTAGACTCATCACCTGAGCTTTTTATTTAAATACTGCCATGGAGAAGAGCAGACAGCCAGGATGAGAAGAAGATGTTACAGATATGGAGGTGCTCGAGGAAAGATTGATGGGGCAGCAAATAGATGGATGAATGAACGAAGGAGGATTAATGAAGGTAGAGAAGAGGACCACCTGAGGGGAGAGAGACTCTGAGAGACTCTGATAAGCAGGGGGATTCAGTTTAGGAAACCAGAAAGATTTTCATCTTCCTGGGTAAATCACCCACTCAGTCACACACATTAAATACAGCACCACCCACAAGAGATCGACTTCTCGACTGTTGAGTATCGCCTGGCCTCTCCTCCAACGCTCCCTCTGGAACTGAGTCCAAAGGGTTTTATTTTCAGTGAATGGTTTCATGTAGCCAATAAACACACTCCTTTTATCAGATCTGTTTTAGCCGTAGTGTTAGTAGGATTTCTTTTTTTAATTATAATTATTGTTATTATTATTCTACCTTCAGGGACAGAAGGGACAAACACATTATTGGAGAGAAGCGTACAGCTACAGACTGGCCTTTACACTGACCGTCTGTGTCTTTGTGTCGTGTTCCTTGCTGAAAGGCTCTTGGTCAGTTATTCACCTTACTGCTCTCACAGTCAGTCCCAGGAACCTCAACAAGTGTCTTTTCTTTTCTAAAAACAACAACAAGTCTTTCTAAAAGGATGAAATCAATGTACAATTTCTATTGTGGCCGCACCAATTTTTATAAGGAGTTGAAATGCCTGTTTAATATTATATGGTATGTTTCTATAAAGAGGTGTTGTTTAAAGGGACATGAAACTGGAGAGAAAACGTTGTCGGTTGAATGCGACGCGACGCTGCAGCATGTTTGGTGAAACCATTGGTGAAGCTTTGCTGATGCATGATGGGAAATGGTGTTAGTTTACAACATTCATATAAAGGCTTGACACATACTTATACGTGTCTGAATGCCTCAAGGGGCATTTTGGCTCTCAAACACATACCTGTGTGGCATTTGTGCATGCTAATGCTAATAACACACGTACAGAGGATTTACCGAATGCAGGCACACAGCTACACACATGACATAAGGAGGGCTTTCAGTGGATGTATCAAACCCTCTGGCAGCCAAATTGGACCTCTTCACGTGTCCGACACGAAACATGGCGATCTTTTTGAGAGACTAGTTATTGTCAACTTGTTAGCAAACAAACGGTAGTAGCTGGTTGGCAAACCATCACTTTATTGTGAGCGCATCTGTTTGGTTCACTCGGTAAATTCCAGCATGAAGCCCAGTTATTAGCACAGCAAGTTGTCCAGTGGATTATTACGTTGACAGCCATATTGCGACGCAACTGCAAAACCTCATTGTTCTGTAACATTTTAAACACCTACAGGCTGTGCAATATGCCACGTAAACTCAATATAAAGTTCAAAACAGTCCCAAAGATTAGCACAGACCGACCAGGAAGACACAGAATTCAGATTTTATTGCATCAAACGCTTCTTTTTTTCACTTTTTTCACAAATACCTTTAAATAACAGAAACTATCCTTGGTTTTGTTACAATGTATCCAATATTTTCAAAAAGCAGGACATGTTCTGGTTTGTTGTTGTTGTTGTTGTTTGTTTTTATCGCAGCACAAATTCCTGGGAATGATTTGCCAGTAAATGTTCTATAATTACCTGGATTTCATTTTTCTTTTTAAAAGTGTCGAAGTGAAAAAACAAAACGTAACTGAAGGCGTGTTCAGACTGGAAGCCCATGTGAGACTTTTTCTCTTTAATGAAAAAACAAAAAATCCCAAGTTGTTTGTGCAAATTCAGTCAAATTCCCACCAACTGCTTTGCCTTCAGCCTAAATGCACCTTCAGATTTCTGCTGTACTGTGTTACAATGTGGAGAAACTGGCTGGACAATTTTGAAATACTAAATCATTATAAAGCCATTACACCAACTCTCTGTGTGTAACAGAGCCAAACAGACCATGGTATCAAACAGGAGCTGGAACTCTGAGAAGTGTTTAGAGACATGTGCTTACTCAAACTGTCCTTAAATACCCCC